GGCGCAAAGCTCGAGGTGGACAGAAGTTGACTTGGCAGCGGGAAATGAAGTCACTGCCGACCAAACTGGGTGCCGTTGGTCCGTCTCGCCTTCCCGGTTGGAGTCCACGTGACTCACCTTGTGCTTGGCTTGAAACTTTACAGGACATGGCTCGCAGTAGACACCAGTGGCGCGTCTGCTGCCGTCTCCTAATCGGATTGCCTGTTTAAAGTGTGGTGCTGAGTTATCTGCGGGGTAATGAGTGATTATGACGCGGGGCAGTGAAAGCCGCAAGGAAGCTGTCTCGTCGATGCCGCCTTATCTTTGCACGATAGCCAGCTGTTTGTGACGGAATGTTGTCTACACAAGGTGTAGGCGCCTTGACCCTGAATGTTTGCTTAGGGCATTAAGGTTTTCGGGTAAGTCCCCCTTCTCTCTCTCCTTATTCTTTATTTCATAGGTCCTCATGGTTGTATGGCAGCGAAGCATCAGTTCAAATGGCTGATGTACTGCTGTTGTTGTTGATGATGATGATGATGATGAACTACATGATCTTGGCTTTGCCGACGCAAAGCTCTGTTACCCTCACCTCAAGAGCATTGCTGGTCATGATTCACCTTTATTATTATATCCGCTTTCTTCCTTGACATGTCTATTCTGCCTACGCTCTCTGTTAGTATTTAGACCTAAATAATACAGGTTTTGCTCTATGAGTCGACATCCTAATCTCGTCTCAATGATCTCCTTCCTTCCGACTACCGTGACCCTAATGATCAGGGATCGGCCGACCCAACGGTCTGTTAACATCACCTCGGGAATATCATTGGCTTTTCCACTTCTCAATAGAGCCTTTTCCTTTTCGCACTCTGTTTGGATTGCTTTTTCAATTGGACGGATAACTCTTCGGGCCTGGTTCCAATATAGCCTCGGCTGACCAGTCTCCTGTTTCTGTCTGCTCCCAAACATCCGAGACCTTATCTATCTAGGCTCTGCATTCCAAACACTTTTCCCGTCATCCCGAGACCTTTTCTCGGCATGCTTACTGGCTTTTCATATAGCCGCTGTCGTCCCGAAATGCTTCTTTTCTTATGACACTCATTACTGTTATTCCCACCTTAATTTGGCGGCCTAGCTTCATCTTGCCGACTTATCCGGTCTCTTCTGAACGGTCTCCTGCTTTCTGACCCATCTCGGACTTCTGAGATCTAAATGATCTAGGTTCTGCCGACGTAACGCTTTGTAACCCTCACCTCAAGAGCATTGTTGGTCTTTTTTCCTCCTTATTATTACATCCCCTTTCATCCTTAACATGTCTATTTATGCCGATGCTCTCTGTTAGTATTTAGTCCCAAATACTACGGTTCCAATGGCTGAGCCACGTGTTGCGCATGCAAACACACCGACTCCCGCGACGTGCATTGTTTGCGCGCCGGGGATGCGGTTGGAAGAGAAGTAGAGCAGGCCAAGCAATGACTTGGTCTAGAGACATGAAAACCCTCACTTCGAAATTGGCGTCGGTTAGCGCATCCCGACTGCGTGGCTGCGGTCCTAAGGACATTAAACACGTTTGGTTGGACACACTTGCTGATATGACTAGCGACCGGCCCCAATAGCTTTCGTGTTGTGAGTTCCTTTGTCCACCCCTCTCCTGCTTAGCCTCTCCCTCCAATCACGATCTCCTTTATTAGGCATAATATAACTTGCGGCACGATAGCCGTCTGTTAGCTCTCCGGAACGATTTCCACCCGTTACTTGGGTCTCAGCCGGTGTGCCTCTATTTTTTCTTGTCTTTTGTATTGCGGCACAATAGTTGAGGTGTTTTCCACCTGCATCTAACGTGTATAATTATAGTGATGATGATGAATAGAGCTTCGAAGTCGTACCGCACACATGTGGCTGTTCACCAGTATCCAGTTTATTAGATTCCCTTCAGCATTTCTGCTGAGGGCGATACCAACACCGTAAATACCTTGAGCCACTAACTCGGTATCACCAGAAACTCGAAGAGTGTAGTCATTGTCGTCAGATTCAGAACCGGCGAGTCGAAGATTCTTCACAACGCTGTTATCTTGTATGCGTGTTTCGAAGACAGCACACACCAATGCCAAGAGAGTGGAGCGTGAAGAGTGAGTCACTGCTGCCAGTTAACCGATCTGACCCAAAGTGCGGACGTTAAAAGAACTAATGTGAACTGAGACTCGTGGTTTGATGGACGAATTGCGAGTATCGATGGCATCAGCAACGAAGTCAGTGGCAGATTCTTGCTTAATAGACAGGGAGGAAGATTGGCGAGAACCTAGGAAGAATAAGGAGTATTATCGTTGTAGTCGAGAGGGCAGGTGATACTTTCCGGCTGCCCATTCCTCGAGAGCGGTTTTGTTCGACGTACCCTACTTTTAGCCTCTATCTCAACATTCCGACTCACAACGTAGTGTGGGATTTGCACGTTCGCTTGAAGGACTCCACCCGGAGCCTTTGGCTCAGTAGTCTGATCAACAAGGCAGTAGAGGATTTGGAGGTTCATTTATGGGACTCCATCCGAAGCGTTTGGCTCAGTAGCCTGACCCACAAGGCAGTGGGAGCAACTCTAGCTCGAAAATATGATTGCAGAGACCCATTGGCATCCACTTGAGCATTGTCACACACAGCCATTGATTATTTGGAACAATTCACATTTGTTTTACGATCACGGCCAGCCGCCGGTGGGAATTGGTGGTTTACACCACTTTGACCAGAGGCTGCCTGGCTTGAGGCGAGTGGTAGCAAACCATTGGGCACCCGAAGGTGTCCTCCCATTGTCAGAGACAACACGTGGCGCTCGTGCCCTACGACAATCGGACTATGAACTTATAACCCATTAACCTGTTGTCTCCCATGGCTAGGTTTTAAAGAAGGGGGGCCATCGACTTCACCCTAACCTCAGAAGAAGATTGGATTGCGAGACTGAGTTAGTCTGACCTCTAACCATTGACCTGTCTGGTATGAGTGGCTCTGAAGGCACTTGGAAAGTGGCACCCAGCACAGCTCAATGGGTCGAAGGGGTACGCAAACCAACCCACCACGCTAAGGTCCAGGCTCATTGCGATGGACTTGTTAAGTTACTGAGTTTGTGGTTCACCGGGAGGTGCTTATCAATCATTTTAAAAACAGTGCAGATGACAGTCTCCTTCCAGCCACTAGGTAAAACGCAGTCAGCAAGACTACTCAAACAAACGCGTCTCTAGTTCACCAATTTTTAACTAGTTCGTATCATTATACTGGTTAGCTGGATCCGGGGAAACCTCAACTGTTGTGCCGCAATCTATGGGTAAGGAACAAAAATACGCAACACGCTGGCTGCGTCACCAGTAACGGGTGGACATCATTCTGGAGAGCTAACAGCCGGTTAGTGTGCTGCAAAAACGTGTTGCTTTATGCCTAATAAGTGAGATCGTGGTTACAGGAGGAGGCCAGACGGAATGGGCAGGACATAGAACTCACTGAGGTCTGCTCCTAGCCACATCAACAAGTGTATCCAACCAAACTTGTTCATCCTCTTTCAGACCCCAACCAGGGAGCCGAGAGGTTCCAACCGAGGCCAACGTCGAATTATTGGCCTACATTCCTCTTGACCAAGTCATCGCTTGTCCTCTCCTCTCCTTCCATCCACATTTCGGTCGCGCAAACCGCACTTCGCTTGAGCCTGCATGTTGGCATGCGCAATACGTGTACCTGAGCCTGATGCGTGAAATAACTGTGCTGAGCCGTTCATTTCCTCTTCCTGTGCCAAAGACAAGACGCCTAACACGCTCATTGCTCACGCGGTGGTGGTTATGAATTAAACTGCGAAGCCACCGGTGTTCGAATCTAACTAGCCTCTACGTCTGTCGATGGAATGGGACAAGTCTGACAACCGTAGAGTAGGGTCAAACGTACGCCTGCATTGTACACTTTACCCTTCAGAGAGAGAGTGCTGTCGCACCGGCGACATAGGTGGCGATAGTTAGCAAAAGCGCCTCGAGCTTTTACTATACTTTTCATGACATCGTCTTTGATTCCAAAAGCGCTGATACAAGCGCCTAGGTAGTTAACTTTCTGAATGATTTCTGGCTGATCTTCACAAAGGGTCAGCGTAGGAGGCGATCCCTGCCAATCTCGTGGGAGAGCTTTGCACTTTGATGGTGTAAAAGCCCAAAGCGACTGACCCCTAGTGCTAATATGTATAGTGCTGCTTAGCACGTTCGTAAACTGTCACAGATTGTGCTAACATCGTGAGCATACTCCAAGTCGAGAAGTCGTTCACTCGGGAGCAGACCCATGCCTTCTAAATCGTGTCCTATGAAAGAGATTTCCATGACCTTGTCAATAAGCAAAGTGACAGTGGGCATCGTTGTTTCATAAAGTAAAAATTAGATCGTCAACTGTACGCCGTAACGACGCATTGCAGCCGCGCGACTACCATTAGTCGCGCGCCGGCTGAGTGTACTGCGAAAACACCCGACCCTATGCAGCTTCGAACCGGCAATCTTATGATTGCAAGTCAGACGTACAGATCACTCGGCCACCGGCCGAGAAATTGTATGGCGTCGACAGCTTGCGTAAGTCCTCGATCTGCCCGAGCTACCTGCGCAAAGCGCTCGGATAATATTTACGCATTACTCGGGCACATCTTTCCTTAGCAGACATTCCCAAAGGGCACGTCTGTTCATTGGATCGAAGACACCTTTAATGTCGGGGAACACGACAAAGGTGATCCGCTAATATGTGCTCCAAAAATTCATGTAAAGTGAAAGTGTGGTCGGTGTAGCCCGGACCTCGACGGACCCGGCTTGATATTCACTAGTTCGTCTAACAACTTTGGATGAATGGCCTCGACGCCAAAATCTTTGGTAGCCTTTCATCCACGTAGCAGTGAAAGTACCATTGGGGCCCGTAAGTCTGTTACGACCTAAGTATACGCATTGGACATTAAAGCCCTCGGAATCCTCGACCGAACGCATATTACAAGTATCGTTCCTGTTTTTCTTTCCTTCATATTTTCAGTCACCGTCGGTAGCTACAGGACTGCTAATTCATTGAAACATTTTTGGAGAATGTTTGCGTATGTGCGTAATGTTATTTTCAGAAGAATCATCCCTGTTCATCAGCCGATCCTGTTCAAGTAGGTTTTTCGTAAATTTGTTGGCCATTTCTTTTTAGCGTCTCCACTGTAGATCCCGGGGCAATAGTTCATCCGTCTAAGAACAATAAATTAGTGGAAGTTGATGTGGTCAATTACGGATCAAGTGGTCTATATTTTTCGGCCTATAACCAGCATGGATTTTTGCTCAACTCTGGCGTTCGCATCATCGGTCCATGCGCTGCATTCCCGCGTAATGCTTTTTGCTGGAATGTGAGCGTTAAGGATGCCAGACACTAATTAATCAGCGTTCAGGTCAAGGATTTTAAGGATATAAATGAAGAATCTTTATCACTGTTCTTCGTTTTGGAGCCGAAATTAGGTAACGATCTCACTCGCGTAGAATAATACTTTCATGCAGATTTACTGCTTATTGGAAAAGGCGCCACGAATATCCAAGTCGATTGTCTTAAACTTCAGAATATCTGTTACAAACACAAGCTGGCAGTCGAGATTCTCCCAACGGTGAGCGGACATTTGCGGTAAAATGTTCATGTTTCAAAATAATTGAATAGGAATCCATCCCGCGTATCTTTTTGGTATACTTGATGTTGCCCAAAATGGTCACTGCTTTTTTGTTGTAGCCAATATACTGAACCCTGATGTGGTCATCAGCATCGACAATAGCATATCAGTAATCTGACTCGATGCTTCGCCCGCTTGCACGCGTGATAACCTTACTGTGGATCAGTGAAACAGGAGAGGGTATCTCTTAATCTTAAACTTCTTTGCAACTTTTAATGAGTACTGTGTATATACCTTTTTCAAATAATCTCTCGATAGTCGGCGTCGTACAGGATACTCATCTGCGTACTATCTGCTGCATCGAGCGGGATGGACTACGGTGGATTTACTTACTGTTCAGGCCCCTGTTTCCCCTCGTTTTTTTGTCCCTACCATTTCTTTCCAACTTCACTTTTGTTCCCCTTCTTTGTCTCAGCCTATCGCTTTGAAAGTCGCTTGTCCTCCAGTTCATCGCGACGAAGCTGGACCTCTACGTAATGCAATGGTTTGTGTGGCTCAGTGATCCACTGAGCTATACTTGCTTTTGCTTTTGGCACACAGTCACACACCAGATTGGTCAGTGGTTAGAGGTCAGACAAATTCAATCTTCTGGCCATCCAGCTTGAGGGTTGGAGTGCGAGTGGTTCTTTACTCCATCAAACGAGCCCTCCGTAGCTCGGTACCAGAACCCTGCTGCCTTGCGGTCAGGTTTTTGAACCATAAGCTTTGGTTGAGAACCCAAATCGTTCTTTCCAGGCTTTGGCAACCTTACAGTACTCTGTCCATGTAATGCAACGAATCTTTCCTCAGACTATTTCTTGATGCTCTGGTCGTAGCAGAGCATAATCAACGGCGCTCTCTCTGCTGCATCAAGCAGGGTAGATAGGAGTCTGGATGCTACTGCTCACACGTTCCCGCTTTCTTATTCCCCCTTTCGCCTTTTTTCTCATCAACACTCCGTTCTAAATTCACTTCCCCCCCGTTTTCAACCCCCAATTTTTGGCCCTTCCCAAATTTGCTTCAATAGACGTTTGTCTTCTAGTTTCCGCTCACACACAATCGCAGGGCGTCGCTCCACTCCAGTTGACAAGTCCATGTTCAACCAAACGGACATCAGTTCATCCGTTCCCCTTTGGAGTCCTCGATCCTCGCTAAGCCTGGCATGCCTCAACGTGCACACTTTGCTGCAGATTGGCTGACAGACAGCACTTGCCCGAACACTCGAGACCCTCTAGACGGATATTTTCTGTTTATCGGAAACCGGCCTGCAAGATTCGAGCTCCGTGCCTACCCTGCTATCTCTCACGTGCAACACTGGCGGCAATTTCTCATTGCGTTTATCAGCAACTGACCAGCGACGGATCCCAGTCAAGTCGGTGTGGGTATTTTGCTGAGTCCCTGGGCTGAAGCTGCCAGGATAGATTGATCCCATTGAACAGCCGGATATGCATTGTCAGATTGACTGGCTCGTTCGAAGCTTCGAAGTCGAACGCAGAAAAAGAATGTTTGTCATTGCGCACTACGCTGACTTGGTAGAAGATGACTTCTATCCAACTGAACTAGCTCGTCACAAGAAAAGTACGCATACTGTAGTGTTTGCTGGTGGTCTGAACGTGCCAGTTGAAATATTGTCCACTGGTGAACTACCTCAGGGCGGTCAACTTGGTGTAGGCTCCCTTAATGGTAACGGCATTTAGTTCGGTTGGATACCTATGAACCGATCACTGAAGTGCGGTATATCCAGTTGCCACAACTCACCTCGCAAAAATAACGATAAAACGACAAGATAGTGGGGTTGAATGCAAATAAAATGTAAAGAAAATGGAAGCATGTAGTTGCGTTAATCTAATCAGGATGGAACGAGAATTAACAACTAGATGCAAGAAACCGAATGCAGAAACGCCATGTCAGCTAGGGTCTCTAACCATTGGTGTTGACCATCCCTAGGTCCCCATCCAGGAAGACAGCACACACCAGCCTGATCAAGCCTCTCGGTCAAATTCAAGCTAGAAGCCATATCATGGGCTGCCCATCTCGTGGTTTTGTCCAACTTGTTGGAGCCACGACGTATAATGTACGTCGACGAAGCCGGTCAACCGGCATACGGAAGGCGTGGCCTAGCCAACCTAAGCGATTAAGATTCAGCAAACACTTGGGTGAAGCACCAAATGCCTTATTGCCAGAAATCAACTGGTGGACCCTCGGAGAATCAAAAAGAAAGGCTGGGCTGCGATCATAATCTATCTGAACCAGAAGACAATGTATTATTTATAGGGTAACCAACGCTCCGATTTGCTCTTCTTTTTTTGGCTGCGTCTGACAGAAACCTACCATATTCATCGATTGAGCCACCTGGTCATGCGCTTACCATGCGGCTCTTGCTCACTCGTGCAGACGTTGTTGCTGGACTAGCGGCGACGACCGATCGTGCGTAGGCGAATAACAACAACTGCCATTACAATGCTCACACCACAGCCACGCTTTTTCAGTTTGGACTCTTTCGGTGTTGAAGTTCCGTACGCTCTTCCGCTGCGTGTTCTCTGTTTGTCTTTTCCTTCACCTCTGCTTTCCTGCTCGTTTTGTCGCTCACTCGTCGTCACACTCGGCGGACGTCACCTCATGTGGATGTGGCTTCGCCGGTACAAACCGTTTCCCACCTTGATCACATAACTTCTTTCCCCTACCCGCGTTTCCACTACTCCTCTTTTCCACTGCTTTACTGCCCCAGACGCCAGTTGTATCCATGCTGCTTGGCCGACCCAAAGTGATGACAACTCTTTAGAGCGCCGATCATAATACTAAACGGTCATGCATCATGGCCGGGGATTTGTTTCCGGTTGAAGTAGGCTTTCGGGCACGGTCAACAAATTTCTCTTTCTGAAGCTAAATAGACGATTTCCGTAGATGGGGTGCTTCTTCGCTCCAGAAGCTCACATCACAGCCCTCAGCATTGCTCACCCGGTGTTCCCACTAGACTTGCGCAATACTCCGCAAGCACCGATGGCCAAGCGTTTAGTGTCATTGCCGCGAATTGGCCAGATATCTGATCCATGCAGTAAGCCTGTGCTTATTGCAGCGTTATACACCCTACATTTCACTGACAGATTAATATTCTACCGTCTCCATAGATGCGTGAGCCTGTGGAAAGCCACACGGACGCTGCTGATATACCTATTAACTAACCGTTTCGATTCGTTCTCCGACCTGAATAATTTAATGGCAAACGTTTCACCACTTCCCTCAGCAGCATTTTCAGTGCACTGCTCCGCAGAAGAAAATCCCACGGAAAGTGTCGTCGGGACGTAGCGTTTGAAATCGGCCACGTCGATCTGTGTCCCGTGCCCTCTGTTTGTTCGATGTTTGGCCGCCCAGTTTTACGCTTTCTTAGCTGTAGGTACACAGGATCGAGGTCAATGCGGAGGTTCACTGAATTCTCCGTAGAGAACCATGCCTCGAGGAATTCTCTTCCTTTTCTTGTCCCTCCGTGCGCCAGAATTTCTGTGTTATCCCAGTTAACGTTGTGTCCTTCCTCATCGAGATGCGCTGAGATCTGTGACGATGCATAATGGTATCGACATGCACGCTTATGCTCTTATATTCTTGTGGATAGTTTTCGCCCCGTTTGACCCACATAGTCTTTCTCATAGTTCTCGCACTGTATCCTGTAGACGACATTTTGACGTTCGTGTCTCCAGTTTTTCTTTAGGTCTAGATAAGACTCCCTTCAAAGTCGCAGTTGGTATGTGAGCTATCATCAGTTTGTGCGGCTTGAGGAGTCTGGCTGTCCTTTCCGATATGTTTTGATGTACGGCAAGGCGATGCGTTTCGCCGTTGTTGGTGCAGGTGCAGTAGCTGTGCTCCTTCGGTTTAGGTGCCTTCGGATGAAGCTGCGGGGGTAGCCGTTGCGAATGAAAGACATAAACAGATGTTCCTCTTCCTTTCGTTTCGCCTCCGCAGTATTGCAGTGCGATTCTATCCTACGAAACAGGGAGAGTATGACAGAATGAAGGCTCGTGATCCAAACATCGCACAGTTTTACGGGTTTTCGAAAGTACACAAAGTGGGTGCGCCGTTACGGCCAATAGTATCACTCCCAGGTGCACCAACTTACAAGTTGGCTGAAGAATTATGGGAAGGCCTCAAACACCTGACCAGCGGCTCGCAATACTCGATGAATAATGCTCATCAGCTTTCGAAAAAGCACTGATGCATGCGGATAGACCATGAAGAAGTGATGGTATCCTTTGACCTCACCGCACTATTCACCTCCATCAACTTACAGATAGCGAAAGAAAATGGAGGACAAACGACTGGGAATCTGACAACTGTAAGCATAATTAAGCTCCTCGACTTGTGTCTTACTACCTACTTCAAATTCCACGGAGTGTTTTACGCGCAAGTTAGAGGAGTTCCAATAGGATCCCCATATCTGGACTTATTGCGGAGGTCGCCATGCAGAGGTTGGAAGAGAATACATACTCCCAGCCACTAGTACGAAATTATGGGTGCGATACGTTTGTGAATGTCAAACGCAACCATCTACCGACCGCACAAAACCTAGCTAACAATGCAATGGAAGGTATTCGTTTCACCATGGAGGAGATGTAAAACCAACTACCCTTTTTGGACGTGCTGGTTACCAGAACAGTGGAAGGCGAAATACAAACATCAGTTTACAGAAAAGCAATACACCCCGACCAAATCCTGAACTTCAACAGTCATATAATAAGCTGTATACGGACCCTGTTTCGTAGGATAGAATCGCACTGCAATACTGCGGAGGCGAAACGAAAGGAAGAGGAACATCTGTTTATGTCTTTCATTCGCAACGGCTACCCCCGCAGCTTCATCCGAAGGCACCTAAACCGAAGGAGCACAGCTACTGCACCTGCACCAACAACGGCGAAACGCATCGCCTTGCCGTACATCAAAACATATCGGAAAGGACAGCCAGACTCCTC